AAGGTTTCTAGAATTAACCTGAAATACTGTAATTTCCCCCTGATGTTTCCAAGGAGAACTGTCTCTAGTTTTCTAAATAGGAGATACCAAGTTAAAAAATATTGTGTTCCGCACCAGAGATAGAAAAGCCAACATTTTAGAAAGTGTGTTCTTTCTGCAGGCACCTTTCATTTAAAACAGAATAAAGGATTCCCCTGTGGGCTCCCGGAACTGTAAGCACTCATAACATCTCTGTTTACATTATTGACTCGGTTGTGACATTTAAAATAGGAAGCTAAGACTGCATGAGCAATTCTTCACAAAACATGCACAGTAACAGGGAAGGCTGCAGACAATGACTTTGTATAAATGTAATCATCTCTATTGGGTAAGGATTACACTGGCTCCTAGAGACAGCAATGTAATAAGTCCCAAGCCTGCTCCTATCAAACCCTCCCATGGATGTGGGAGTCCCACCCACCTCAAACCATCCCCAACTCAGTAAACATTTGGCGCCAGAGATTGGCACCACCACGGTAATTATCTCCAGGGAACTTGAGTCTCTCTATAAGAGGATTGACTAATCAACAGGGTTGTTGAATGAGTCCCCTGATCTTGAGCAAGTCATCTCTCTGAGGTTCGGTTTCCACATCTGTCAGATTCAACAGCTCAAGTTGAATCTCTTCCAGTTCTGAGAGTCACAGATTCAAAGTGATGAAGTTGTTCATAACATAGAGATGAATGTACCACAGGCCAGCTTAGGTGATCTCCCCACTACCCCACTGAGTGTACTGAAGTCATAGGACTGGAATAAGCCTTCCCAAATTTGTCATCCTGGTCACTCTCAGCTCTTCAAGACTTGCCTTCATGTCTTCAGTATTTACTGAGCTGAGAGCTATGGTTCACACGAGGCTTTCCCAAGAATACAGCAGCCAAATAAAGGTCTTCCTGGAATTTGCCGACTGAAGGAAAACATACTATGCATCATCTACATTTAGTAGTTCCTGGACTAAACAGAAAGCTCCACATACATGAGGTTTCTAGCAGAGAAAAGAATGAAAGTATTGTGCAGTCACAAGCTTCATTAGATATCCACTGGTTGAATTACATGCTAATGGAGGCCTTACTTTATATTGAATATTTCAAGTACCATAGGAAAGGCAGTACATCTTGCCTGACCCATTGATTGAGCTTGATTTTATTTTATTTTATTTTTTAATATATTTTATTGATTTTTTGCAGAGAGGAAGAGAGAGAGATAGAGAGCTAGAAACGTCGATGAGAGAGAAACATTGACTAGCTGCCTCTTGCACACCCCCTACCGGGGATGTGCCCGCAACCAACGTACATGCCCCTGACCAGAATCGAACCCGGGACCTTTCAGTCCGAAGACCGATGCTCTACTGCTGAGCCAAACTGGTTTCAGCTGATTGAGCTTGATTTTAGACCTACCGCCAAACTTTACATAAACACTTTATCAAAAAAAAAAAAATGCATTTGTACTCTATCCCCTTAATTTTCATAACATGCTTCCCTCAAAAGAAAAACCATTATAGAATTTTTAGGACAACCCTAACAAGCATGAAGGTCTTGTAATCTGTCCTTTATCATCTACATTCAATCAGGAGAAAGTCAGAGTCGAAAGCAACCCCATTATTCTGTGCCACAAGGTCAGTTCTAATGCACCATAGGATGGTCTTGAACCATGTGACATTTTTAAATGCATTTTAAGTTTTCCGTCTTGATATTTTGTGAGTCTAATACACTGACTACGGTTGCCAAGGAAATATGACTTAGGGTTATAAATGGATCCGAAGGGGCTTTGTGGTTTAAAAAATATATTAACAAGACAAAAATGGAAAGATCAAATACAGAGAACAAATTTGGCTTTTTTATTTTCCCCCTTCAAAATGCATACTGATCTGCAGGCTACGTCTCTGATTTAAAAAGTACGAAGTCTCAAAAAGTGGCTTTCCCGGCTCAAGAAGAGACTTTCTCCCAGTCAGTCAAGTTGAAAGCATCAGAGTATCCTTCTCATCTTCTGATTGGGATTCAGATCCCTGTGAAAGTGTTGATTATGCACATGAGCTGCTCACCTCCAATATGTTTACCTCCAAATGGAAAAGCCTTTCTTTATGTGACTAAAGGTGGCCATAATGGTCCTGAGTGTTACACATCAGGGAACTTATAAAATGAAGACAGAAAGGCATAACACAAACCTTATAAATACATTCAGTTATGTTCCAAAAGATTCAAATGCAGATGAAAATAGAGATTCCACCATTAACCTATTTTTTTTTATCCATCATTATTTCTTATAGTCAGTATACCTTTAATGTGTTCAATCATGATGGTGGACTCAGTCTGAAGATAGAAACAATCAAAGCTGCTGTTTGTTGGAATACTACATAACACATCTCTGGAAACAGATAACATCTTTGCTTCCTATTAACTGAAACGGGGTTATTTTAGATAAAAAAAAAATCCACAAGCAGATTAAGAAACACTTTAATGCAAGACACTCTAATTAAAATCTCGAAAAGCAGGTCCCCTTAAGACAAACTGATGAGTCAAGCAAAATGCTACGTTGCCACCAGATCGCTGGAGATAAACAGTAGTCTTAGAAGCACAACTGAAAAACAACTCACAAACCTCAAGGCCACTATTTCCAAAGAAATATTTAGAAGCTCTAGTAAAGGGGTTGTCCCATCCTGGGAAATATAGTGGACCCCATCTGTGCCTGCTCCCGCTAAAGTAGGATGGGAGTATTGTGTCTGAAAGAATAGAAAGGAGGTTGACCACTCAGAGGAGAGGCATAGGTCTGGGACAACGAGAGCATTCTCATGATAACATATGACAAGACCCTTGGTTCCATCCATAAGCAAGCTCTTCTCACTCAACCATTCAAAACTGCCCAGGATCTGACATCCACTCCTTCTATGAACAGATACTTTCTTTTATGCAATGACCAGGGGAGATCGCCTAGTTTTGATATGGTTTGAGTTTGATTCTGTGAAACTTTCTCAGAAATCTTCCCATCAGAGATAATGAGTAGAATTAGGACCCACTTTTAACACAGGTGTTCTAACTGTAACTGCCAATCCTATTTTTATCCCAGGTGTGACCACCTTTAACCTACTCTGAGCTCAACCCTTTGATCTGCTAGGACTTTGCCAGTCTTTCTTTAAAAAATGGACAAAGAAAACGAATTTAACCTAGAGGCAGCAGCTCAGTGAGGGAAGGGAAAACATCAGACGTTATCTAATCGAAGCCATGGCTATCCTGAGCTCTGTCTTATCTGCTGGGTCTTAAAAAGAAACTTAAGACCCAATTTTTAGGGACCTTCCTAAACTTAAAGAGCATAAAAATAAGGAAAGTTGTTGCTTCTCTCTGACTCCTGGGAGATGTGCTATGCAGTTTACACACACACACACACACACACACACACACACACACTATAATATATCATCCTGGATTCAAAACACCTAGGCTCTAGGAAAGTCTGTGTGTGTGTAGAGGGGAGGGTGTTGTTTGAGAACAAGGATTGCTAAGAGGGCAGTAGAAAGAAGGGATGGGAAGAAAAGAATATTTCATTTGAAGATAAAGTAGTTTTTCCATAAGAGCAGAGTTTAATCATAGTTTCAGGAGAACACGAGTTTTGGAGTACCTTGGACAGCTAAAAAAAAAAAAAAAAAAAAAAAAAAAAAATGCTGTTTAAGAATCCGAGGAAAGAGCAAGCCAAGAACCACCAGAGCAATGCATTAACAATTCCTGGCAAAGCAGCAAGAGGGGGAAGAGTTGGTTTTGCATAGTTTTGGACGCAGGTGTAAAAGCGCAGGGACTCTCCCAAAGGCACAGGCATCCTATGGCCTCCGTGGGTCAGCTGGGGCAGGAGGGGCCTCTGTTATTTCTATTGCAAAGTTTCCCCAGGCTCTCTGCCCTGGCCTCCTCCTTCCCTCCCTCCACCCCGGAACCCCCGTGGCGCGCACTTCACAGGCTCCGGGGATGGGATCTTCAACTCAGCAGCCTGCGATTTCTGCGGGAGCCTGGCCAGCTCTAGAACTGGAAGCCAGCCTGGCCAGGCCACAGGGGATGCGGCCGGGTGTGTGGGGGGGGGGGGGGGGGGTCTTGGGGAGGGGGATAAGGTGAAAACTAACCAGGGCCTTAAAGCCCACCCACCCACCCACTTCCTTCGGGAGAAAGGATGGGTGCATCTTCCTAAGAGCATCTCTCAGCCTTCCCCTTTCTCCCCACTGGACGGTCATCAACACTCATTAGACTTGGCTGGGCCACCTCCTCACTGTGCCCCTGGTTTCCCCCCTAACAATAGGGGCGTCTGCGATACCACATCTCTCCAGTGGGCTGTGGCCAGCGCTCCAGCGGCCCTTCCAGTCCCGGCCCGGTCCCCTTACGCCCAGGCTTCCTCCCTTAACCGAGGAAGGCGAGCTGGAGAACTTGGCTGAACCCAGGGACCTGCAAGCCTATGGATTCCTTCAAAGCCCAGTAGCCCCGGGCGGGCGCGGAGAATCGGGAGGTTTTGCTAAAGGGGTTGGGGAGCAGGCAGAAAAGCCGAACCCAAGCCATTGGGAACCTCTCCGATCCCCCTGCGCTTTCTCAGAGGAAGAGCCTCAACTTCGGCCAGGACTCTGCCCCCCTCCTCCCCCAGGTCTGAACCAGCACCGCCTTTTCCCCCACCCCCTAAACCCCCTCCCCCGGACTTCCAGGACCGGCCACTCTGCGGGCGCACCGGGTCCCCCTCCGCGCGCCCCACCCTACCTGGGCGAGCCGGGCGCTGGCAGAGAGGCGAGAGGCGGGGGAATCACATCAAAGTTCCCTCGCGTGGAAGACCATGCCTGCAGCCCATTTCCGAACGCCACCCCAGCAGCAGCGAGAAGCAGGCAAACCCGAGCACAACCCGGTGCAACCTCAAAAGTTGGTCTCAGTACGCAGCAGCCTCACCAACACTTTGCAGCCGCGGCGCCCGGGGGACAGGGGAATATGCAGAGTTGGCGGTAGCTTACCTGGGTGTGCCCACCTCCAGGAGTAGAAGGAGAATTCGGCCCGGGGATGGCCTGTCCCGCCCCCAGGATGCAAAATGCAAAATGCAAAATCCGGCTTTTTGGAGAGGAGGAGGTGGTTGGTGTGGAGTGGTGTCCGGAGGGTGGGGATGGGGGGTCGGGCTTCCCTTCCCCCCTCGTCCTCCCAACCGGTTTAAAAACAGCGGATGGCAAAGATGCTGGGAGGAGAGTTTGGTCTCTCCGGAAACCCCGACTCCATTCTTGGTGATTGGGGGCTGGGGAGAGGAGACAGTGTTGGGGGGACGGGGGAGCAGCCTGGTTCTCAGTTAACTCGGAGTAAAGTGGAGGGTCCTGGGGGTGGAGGAGGGAGCGGAGAGAAGCCAGGGAGGAAGGAAGGAGAGGGAGTCGGGGAGGCGAGCCGGGTGGCGGGGAGATGGCAGCTTCTCCGTGCAATTTCCACCTTCTGACGAAACCCATGCGCCCAGCAACCCGCGAGATACGAGTTGGGAAACCTCCGCGCGAGCGCCCCCTGGGGGGTTCCGGCGGCGAGAGCGCTGCCCCGGGCGCGAGTCCGCGGCCCCGCCCCGGGCTGGTCCAGCCGCGCCCACAGTCCGGGATTCCTGCTCAGCTCCATGGCGCACACCTGCTCCCTCCCGGGGCCTTCTCAGTACTCCAAGTGCGTGGACCTCATCGCCACTTTGGAGCAAAAAGGAAATATCTGCGAGAGGATGGGATTGATTTTTTTTTTTTTTTGCACAGATTCAAGGAAACTCCTTGGATGCATGTCAACTCCCACCCAAAATGAAGAGATCGCTCACCTCCCTGTATGATAGGAACCCAATAATTATTTTTTTTAAGTTAAATGCATGAAAAAAAAATGAAATGGCAACCGGGCTTTTTGTTCATCCCTCAGGTCTTTTTAAATGCATCCATCTCGCAAATAAGATTTTTTTTAAAAAGCGCTGAGGGAGTACCTGTGTTTAAAAATAGACATAAAGCCGCTGTCTTGTGGAAGGGGGGCCACTGCCTCATGTTATGAAGCACTTTAGAAAGTGTAGCTTCCCTGTTTCAAACTTACTCTGTCACATTCAGGCGGATGAGCAATGGGGGAGCATATTGTGTCTGGTTGTTTCTACAACAGAAGATAAACTAGACAACTCAGCGTGTAAATATGGTCAGAATCACAAATCAGACCTCAGAGTCCATGGGGTTCAGAAAAATCTCTGACATTGGGATGGCATGGAGGATGTCACAATCTAATAAGGGTAGGGATCCAGGGAGGCCAGAGGGTCTTCACTCTATCCTCTTCAGGCACTATCTAACCAGTCTCCCCTCACGGAAAGCAGTTATCAGTCACACGCCTTGCACCAACCACAGAGCTCTCAATTTCAAAGTCACAGAAGGAGAAATAATAGGGTGAGGGGCAGGCGCCCCACCAATAGTTCTATGGTGGCAATGAAGATCTTTGAAAGGAAGAAGAAAAAAAAAAGCCTGCAGGAAAAAAAAGACATTTTCTTCCCCCAAGTCATCTCCCAAGACCTTCTAAAGTAGGAAAACATTAAGCTCGGCCGCTAGAAAGGAGCTTAGGGAGTTTGTCTGTAGAGTGAAGCTCCTTTGATTCACTTTGATTAGAAACACTTGGGTCAGGTCCTATGGTTGAGGCGCTTGCTGATCATTGTGGCCTTGGGATACGGGAGTACACTAATGTGGAGGTCAGCAAACTCATTAGTCATCAGAGCCAAATGTCAACAGTACAAGGATTGACATTTCTTTTGAGAGCCACATTTTTACAACTTAAACTTCTTCAAAATAGACTGGCCCAGGCCGTGGTTTTTTGTGGAAGAGCCACACTCAAGAGGCCCAAGAGCCGCATGTAGCTCGTGAACCGCAGTTTGCCCACCACGGCACTAACGCACCAGGCCTTCCACGGTGTCGGAAGCCATCGTGTAGCCCCACCTGATTCACACTGAGAGTAAAACACAGGGTGGGTCCCCAAAGGAAATTCAGGGTCTTCCTGCAGAGAAAGTAGAGACGGATGCTGGCAAAGTCAGCATATGTTCACTAAATATAAAAATATTAAGTCTGAAAATATTCCTTTTAGGCTTAATGGAGAAGTAGCCTCAATGGTTAACTTACGTTTGAGCTGGAATGAATTAAGAAAGATGAAGAGAAAGGAAAGTCATTGTTTCCTTGCATGTTGCCTGTGTCCTCTGAAATTTAAGTCCCATGAATGCAGGTCCTAGTCTCTTTTGTTGCCTTGTTCATGATTATAACCCCAATGCCTAATGCAGTGTGTACCACCTAGCAGGTAACCAGCAAACATTTTGTTAAATTAATTAAATTTTTTAATTTATTTTTATTTTTAAATTGATTTTAGAGGGGGGAAGGGAAAGGGATAGAGAGATAGGAAAATCAATGAGAAATATCAATTGGCTGCCTCCTGCGTGCCCCCTACCCAGGATCCAGCCCCAAACCCGGACAATCTGCCATCACCAGGAATCAATCCTATGAGCTCTTGGTTCATGGGTCAGTGCTCAACCACTGAGCCACACCAGCTGGGCTGTTAAATTTTTAAAAATACCTTAGAGATCATTTAACACAAGCCTCTTATTTTATAGGTAAGAGGAAAAAGAACCAAGATGTGCTGAGCAGGTATTGTAGTTTCCAGACAATCTGGTAGGCACTCTATTGACCATCCCAATTACTTTTCTCAACTACTTACCTGAGTAGGTTTTATTATATCTACACACACACACACACACACACACACACACAACTGGATTTACATTGTCAGGATAGCCACACCAGGGAACACAACCAGTTAATGGGAGAACCCAGAGCGTTCACTGAGGCAGGCTCTGAAGGACCAACTCAGAGTCACTACACAAGAACCCGAGAACGGAAGCAATAGAGTGGGAGCCCGCAGGGAAGGACCCAAGGCTACCGTGTGCGGTCCCCCATGTTCAAAGCACAGACACACACACACAAAACACAATGCCACAACCTGCGGCAAACATGCTTCCCTCTGCCAGCAGCCTTCAGCTCCCTAATTAGAAACAAACAGCCGCCTGCCTGCCAGCCGGTGTGCAGAACACACGTGCAACTTGATGCCAGAAACTTGGATTTTTTTTTTCTTTTCTTTTCTCTCAAGGCATGACATTGAAGGTAAACTCCAAGAGGCTCCTTGCAGGGCACGGAAAGCAGAACGGCCTCCCACGTCTCACACGAAGCCAGCAGCTCCTCTCCTCAAATAAAGACATCCAGTCAGCTAATGAACTATGGTCGCCGCTATTAAGCCCACAGCACGCGGCTCACCAGAGTCCCTTCCCCAAGGGAGACAGCCAAACCCCCTGGTCTGCATCACTCACCTCCTTCCAACTCTCCTCTTCATGGATGCGGAGCTGCTGGGTTCCACAGCCATGGTCAAAATCCCCTGGAGCCGCGGCACCGCCGGTGTTCCCAAGGCGAAGAGGAGGCGCCAGCTCTGGGTACACTCACCAGCCCGGGCTCTGTTTAATAACATAAGGGGAGGCATTCGCTCGCCGTCCTATGCCAATATGAAAGGCACCTCGCCCATCAGAGTGACAAGCGAGATGCTGGAACGGAGCCAGGGAACACAAGGGAAGAAACGTGGGTTCTTCTTCCCAAGGCAGTGGATACCATGGTTTAAAGGGCAGCAGATGATGGAGCGGGGAAGCAGGCAGAGCCGGTGCCCTGCGTGAGAAACCTTGGATCCTTCCCGGAATGAGTCGGGATGAGCATTTTGTTTGGAAACGGAATTTGTCTGCTTCCTCTCTGTCTGTCTGTCTGTCTTTCGTTCTTTCTTTCGGCTGTAGGATGGTTCACACTCAACTAGTCAAGGGGACTGCTGTAAATAACAGGATCTATTTTTGAGGCTTTGGATCAAGTAAGAACCTTGAATTTCTCCCTAGGTTTATTTATAAGCTCAAAATGTGTGTGTGTGTGTGTGTGTGTGTGTGTGTGTGTGTGTGTTTCATGTGATTTTGAGAACTGACTGATATGTCTGCCTCTGTTGTTTCTGTACATGTCTGTTTCTGTATATGGTTGTGTTACTGGAAAGCAGAGAGCGATGCTCTAAGAAAGCCCTTCTAACATGCTGAGTGTTGAGAGAACTATATGTCACAAGTTGTTGCAGGGAACACACGTCCCACAGTCTGCCATTCTTCTGTAAGAGGGCCCTATTTGACCCCTGGTGTCTCTCTAAAGCCATCACTAACCAATTACTATGCCAGGAAGGGGCTCCTTATACTCTTGCCTACCAGTAGGTGGCGTTAAACTTCCTCTAGCTTTTCTTCATTGCATTTTTTAAAAACCAGAGGCAGAGAACTCTTCCTTTCTGAGATTTTACATTTGCCCAGTAGTGATATTTTAAAATACACTAAATCAACTCTATTATTTTTAAGTAAACTATTCCTTTTATCTCTTAATTAGGTCCCTCGGCCATGCCTCTCAGCCTCATTTCCTCCTTGTGAAAAGAAGGTATTTGAACTCCATCTCTGGGATTCTGGTTTTCATTTATATAATATCTGCCCAGCCACACCACTCCTCGTGTTTGTGATAAACTCATTAAGACGCCATTCCTTTGGGTTTAAGAGATGTTAGCATGCAACTCTTACTGAGTGCCAGAGTCTGCTATTTGTCTAGCCCTAGCCTATATTCACTTTTGTTCGTTTTTCCTTATTAAGAATAGCAGTTTTGTGGGAGGTGGCAATGTGCTCAGCCCCAAACCCACATTTTCCAGCTTTGCTTGCAGATGGGGTAGTCATGTGTCGAAGATCTAACCCTGCACTGCCTTATATGGTAGCTACTAGACACACATAGCTACTTACATTTAAATTTGTTGACATGAAGTAAAATTTAAAATTCATTTCCTCTGTGACACCAGCCACATTTTATTTTTGAATATGTTTTTGTTTATTTTAGAGAGTGAGGAAGGGAGAGGAAGAGAGAGAGAGAAACATCATCAATGTGAGAAACATTGATCGTCTGCCTCCTGCAGGCCCCCAACTGGGGATTGAGCTGGCAACCAGGGCATGTACCCTGACTGGGAATTGAACCTTTGACCTTTTGGTGCTTGGGATGACACTCAACCAACAGATCCGCACTGGCTGGTACACATTTTAAATGCTAACAGTCACAAGTGGCTAGCAGCTCCCACCTTGGATAGTTCCAACACGGGACATGCTCGGCATCACCGAAAGTTCTGCTGTGCATGCTGGTATTGCCATTGAGATGTCAGTGGAAGTTAGAGGGCAGTTTCCATGATCATCTTAAAAGGGAAGGAGATACTGACTCAGCTGGCCTGTTCCTTTATCCCCTCCTCCCCCTCCCTTCTTTCTGCCTAAAGGAGAAGGTGGGTCAACCATCACATGGCTGTGAGACAGCAAGCATTTGCCAAGGCAGGATAAGCCCAAAGATAAAAGGAACCTGTGTCTTGATATCATGAAGGCAGGCACGTTATCATC